TATGCTTAAGAACATACGCATCTTTACTTAAGCACTTGTTCAGGCTTTCATACTGCGAGCATTTTAGAAGCTACCAAATATTCTAAATACTAGTTTAGACGATTTGTAAGTGAATATGTTCGAGAGGGACGAGTTATGTCGTCTATATAGTTTATATATTTCGTGGCCACAAGCAGCCGTGTGCATAAGTAGTTGAACACTTGTAATTCGGTTCGGGATTTGAATCCTGGCAAACAGGCTTGCTGCATAGACCTTTTCCACATGTGTAACATATACACTAGCCAGTTTCCCTTGGAAAGTCCTCCCTGAGGTCATCTCTGCCCTTTGGCAGATAGTCCTCGAGTGCTTTGCCGTAATTAAATCAACCCAAAATAAACTTACATATTTCGTAAGGTGCAAGCTATATCTTTTAACTCCCTGTTAGTTTAGCCCCACTAGCAGGTGAGTGATTAAGACTGATTAAGACCGTTGAATGTATGTAGTTCGACTTAAATCAAACGAGCCAAATCAAATGGGCTGACAGCACGGTTGGTTTTTCAAATGTGTAACTTGTGTAAAGGCAATTTTTCTGAAAATATCCTCCACGAAGGCATCCCTTCCCTTCCACAGACAGTTCTTGTAGGCTTTGAAATATACAAATAACCTGAACTTCGTATAAATCTACCTTCTCTTTAAATACATTAAGGCCATAAATTTCTATATTTCGGGAGAATGACAGATTATAAAACATAATCGACTGAAGAATTTGCAAATAATTTTTCCCCTTGCAAGCTAATTTATTTTTTCTTTTAATATTTTATATGCTTTCAGTGCTTGATAATAAATATTTTCTAATTATGAGCAGTAATTAATCATTACTTGCATGTTAACTTATTTTTTCTTTTAATATTAATAAGCATTCAATAACAAATGTTCCCTAATTATGTGCAAAAATTTAGGCATACATGATTAAAAATATGCTAATTAAACGAATTATATTCAATGTTGCATTTTAAAAATATACGTTTTGAAATTCATTCAACCATTATTACTCTGCTTTTCCTACTAAAAATTCCAAATTTGATCTCATTTCTGATCTTTGACCTTGTTTTCGAAAGTTAGAATTTTGATGACGTTTGGACTTTTCACCTTTATTTTTCCCTCTCTAGTATATTCTAGTATGTTAGTAGCATGTACAAGGTTCGTAACCTAATTTAAAACTTTTGATTAAATATTGTTCTTAATACTATAAAAAGGGGCAAATACTTCCTTCAAAGAGCAAGTACGGCCGCATTGCTATCGTTGTTGGATATACAATTCTTTAAATACTCTGTACTTCGTGGTTAGGTTGGCTTACTTAATTTAATTTAGTTAAGGCATAGGAGGGCTATCTACCTCATTTCAGCTTTGACAGAGACCACCCCAAGGAATGGAATCTAGAGGTTTTTTTGTATCTCTCTTTTCTACCACTGACCTTTTGAGAGAATTTTCGAATATTTCAAGTGCCCTCATTTCACAAAAACACACAGTGTTTACGTGTTCTCTTAGATTCGAACTCCTGTCGAATAGCATCAGCTTCTCCTAACCACTGCACAGTCTGAAAAGAGGTATAGGCTTGAATGACCCAATCATGCTGAGTATTTCCAAGTTCTCGCTGAGGTAAATTGATGGCTTAAAAATATTTGTTACTCACTTCAACGTTAAAACCCTTTGCATTCTTTTGCCTGTGCATGAAAAAGGCTTGGTTATTGGTTAATTCTATAGGCTAACTATGGAGCGATATTTTAAAGGCATCATTTGTTTCTTAGAACTCTTTTTAACTGCTTTTTTTCGCATAGAAACCAAAGAAAGGGCCTCGAAAGAGCTTTACCCCAAACCTTGGACGATCCTAATTGGGTCCTATGTACGAGTGACATAAATATTATATGCAAATCCACTGGTAGCTCTCGGCGACATGGAAGATAACTTTAATCTTCCGATGAAATTGAACCCTAAAAGAAACTACCATTTTCCAACGGTTTTTAACTATTAATCCAGTGTTCAGTGAAAAAATGGAAAAATTATGATATTAAAAAATATTAAATGGGGATATTTAAAAAAAAATACACTTTGCATCATTGTTAAAAATACAGGAAACAAATATGCCAATGTAAGTAATCACACATCCTAAAATGAGTTCGATAGCGAAAAGTTAGTTTATTTAACTGAAGACGGCAAAGCACACGAGAGCTACCTGCCTAAGGAAAAACATACCTTCGGTCAGAGAACTTTCTTCCGGAAGTTGGCTCGTATTTACATTACACATTGGGAAGATTCGAGAACACTCATATAGCCAAACTCCGGAATTCAAACCTGTGTTCAGCGCTTTTATTTCCATAAGTATTGATGGGCCGCAGAATGGAAAGAAGTAATCAAACTTCATTAACTTTTTTATAAAATGACCTACATAGAAAAAAAAAATCGTAGCCTAATTATTAAGAAATAACTGATAAAAAGAAAACCCTCTAGAATCTCTAATCTACCAATGATGTATATAGAAGAGAAATTCAGTGGTATTTATATAATAACAATATAATGAGCACATGAAACGGGTAATGACTTCAGTAACTTGTCTATGCATGTAACCATTACATTTTAACTCAGAGATGAAAATAAAACTTAGGAACCAGCTAACCTGTTTCTGCGGCTCTGCCGTTTAGATGTTACCTTAACCCTCGATTATTAAGACAACATGAAAAGTATTCTAATGTACATCGGAACTTAATTTCTGTTTTATTTTAAACGTTGCCATTTGAATAATATTTTTAATTTACATGGAGAAGAAATTATAACTATTAATACAGGAAATATCTATAATTAATAATTTCATTCAAAAATCCTTTTAAGCTTTACATTTCAGAAACTATTAAAGCATTTAGCAGCGGAAAACATAAGAAAACAACCATGCCTTCCCTAGAGTTCGAATAACGGATCTGTGTGTGTGTATTGAGAATACGGCAAAGCACACTAGGGGCTATCTGCCTAAGGGGATGGATGCCTTCGTGGAGGACTTTCTAAGGGAAACTGGCTCGTATACACGTTAAACTCGGCTCGTATACACATGAGGGGTGAGTGAGTGAGTGAGTGAGTGAGAGATTATGGCGCAAAACCAAAGTTGATTATAGTGCGCCAAACGCGAGATGGGGTGAGTACAATTGATGAAATTAAAATACAATAAATAAAAACAAGTAGACAAATGTGTCAAATCCAGAGGATGAAGTCATATAAAAACAAGTTAAAACCACACATTTAAAATTCAAGACACAATCTTTAAAACAAATTACATTAAGTGATAAAAGCCAGTCTCTTTTAAATAATAAAATAAATTACAATTCACCTCCCTTCCGATTAAACGGTCGAGAGGTAAGTCACAGCTATTAAAATACTTCTGACGAAGATTATTAAAATATGGACACTCAATTAAAATATGACGGACAGATAGACAAACATTACAATTTGAACAAACAGGCTCATTCTCTGGTTTTAAAAGGTAGCCATGTGTCACTCTTGTGTGACCGTATACACATGAGGAAAAACCACGAAAACGCCCATGCAGCCAGCTCGTTCGCGGGATTCGAACCTCGGACCAAACTACCAGTGTTCAGCGACGTTACCACTCGGCCGCTGGGGGGCCCGAATAACGGATCTTCCAGCTGCAGGTTTAAAATGCTGCTCAATTTACATTATAAGAACACACGTAGTGGAATGTGGTAATTCCTTACAACATAAGTATTGTAGTTGGTTGGTGGATAATAACATCTACTAAAGGGAAAATGTATTTCTCTGCAGGATATTCGAAGAAAATGTGTTTGTTTACATTAAGTATGAGAAAATCACGATAACTAACATTTTATTCAATAGTCGGGAAGAGAATTCAGTAAGAACTACCAGTCTTTCATAGCTTTAGACACTGATAAGCATTGCTTAAGCTATTACGGCAGCTTACACAACAGTATTTTCATTTTGAATAAGCTACAGCAAATGTGGCATAAAATTTATTTTTAGAGAATTATAGATGTCTATTTTTCTTGACTTAAAAATGCTTCTATTTTAAGCATATACGTTTTTAAATTGGTAAATACAAACAGATAAAACTGAACTGATTAAAAAAAATCTATTATGATTTTCTATAAAACTACATCTGTTGCTTACAATAGACAGATTTTTAATATTTTACTCAAAGATAATATTTGCATTTATCATCGACTACATAGTTCAGCTTAAAAATATTTTATTACGCTAATCCGTACAGTTTAGTATGTATGGAATTTATTTTTGCTGTACTTCAACATATATCGATTCAAATGTATTATATCTGATTATTTCCAACTAAGATTAAATTTTAATCATACATTTGTATTTAATATATATTTAATTTCGATCATATTTTTGTTTCTTTATAAAATTTTATTTCATTACTTACGAAAAATTTCCAATATAAGGCATACTTTATGTGATTTTTTTAATTCTCTACATATGAATATTTTTGACTCCTTTCCCCATAAATACACATTTATTTAATTTTTTTTAAAGCTAATTACAAACTTAAATATTCCATTCCTCTGAATACCCATAAATTTATTTTTACAGAACCGGAGACATTTTTCTCAGAAGGTGACCCACATTCAAATAATTAACTATAAATTTCAAATAACAGCTACTGCATAAACTATGGTGTAATATTCATATCAGCCTTCCGAATCTAACGTGTGCGAGCAAATATATTTTATAACCATACTTAAAAATAATTTAAAACACAAAGAACTCACCTGCTGTACTCATTGTGATTATTTCAATTCCACTCACTAAGAAATTTTTCTCAGAAGGTGACCCACATTCAAATAATTAACTATAAATTTCAAATTACAGCTACTGCATAAACTATGAGGTAATATTCATATCAGCCTTCCGAATCTAACGTGTGCGAAGGAAATATATTTTATAACCATACTTAAAAATAATTTAAAACACAAAGAACTCACCTGGTCTACTCATTGTGATTATTTCAATTCCACTCACTAAGAAATAGTGATGTTTCTTTTCGGATTTAGAATTCCTGTATATTTAACCATATGCGTCTAGTGTGAGGGGAAACCGGTCTTCCACGTGGAGAAGTAAAGACCAAACAGCTCTACGACAGTAAAGGATTAAAAATGAAAAAAAAACCTTCCTCTTCAATTGCTAGTCACCTCAGCATTCTACCGCTGACAAATCTAGAGAGAAGAAGGATCAGTCAGATGACTGCCTCCTACTGCGCTCCCACCGATCCTAACTTTTCAATTGGCGACCGCAGTGAACCCAACTTCCATGATTTCAGAGCTCATCGTAAAAATACGGTCGCCAAGATTTGGCGCCAAGTCGTACCCAAAGCGGTGTTTGTAAAGCGGCTTTACTCAATTTACTTCCCTCCCGGATGAATTCGCTGCAGCGAGAAGCAGAAATGAAGAAAAAAGTGGGTCAATTATTAGCTAAATGATTCTCAAGATTAAAAAAAAAAAAAAAAAAAAAAAATGTTAATATTACTTTTTGGGGAGAGAAAAAAATAGTAAAACTATATTTACAGCAGTTTCTGTGGGAAGCAGTATGGAAAGGCTTTTATTTCTATTTTTAAAAAAATCAAACTTATTCTCAACTGTTATTTTCTAAAGTTACTTTATATTAATATTTAAATTGTTTCCTTAAAGCTACCGACATGCAAAAATCAGTAAACATATGGTTCGTTATAAATATAACATTTTCTTATTTATATATTATATGTATTTCATAAAGAAGAAATACCTGAGTATAAAAATTTCTAAAGAAATTTGGGTCGTATTCTTTTATATCTAGGACTGGATTTATTAGATCACAGCAAACCGCACTGAGGTTGTCTGCCTACGGAGAGAGATGCCTTCATGGAGGACGTTTAACATTTATACCTGAAGGGTCTTAAAAACTCAAGTAGCCATCCCTGTCAGGTCCTTGGCAATCTTTCTCTGAATGACTACCGGTATCTAAGTATTGGTTTGTTCAATTAGTGAGGGCAAAGCGTGTAAGGGCTATATACCAGAGGATAAAGATGGCTATATACTTTCCAAAGACATATGACTTCCGTTCAGGTTACATGCAAAATCACAGAAGCGTTCATATAGCTTGCTCATTAGCTAGTATTCGAGCACCGATAGAGATCATAATCATCGGTTAAGTTAAGTTAGATTATTTGAATATGACAAAGCACTCGAGGGTTATCTGTCTGAGAGTAGAGATGTTTTCGTGGTGGACTTTCTAAAGAAAACTGGCTCGTATTCCTTTTACACATGGGAGATTCATAAAAATCAACCATGCAGCCAGGCCCTTTCCCTGGATTCGAACCCAGGTGGAAACTAGCAGTATTCATCAGTGGTCTTAACCACTCGGCTACTTGTAGGGCTTTAACAACTCCTGGACTCATAATTATACATTTTTATATAAATTTGCATACTCATAATTATAATTTTTATATTCAAAAATATATGGCAAAAATGTAAAGACAGGGCACAGAGGACTGGAACAGGCAGATTTTGCAAAGGAAAGTATATGCAGAAATGGCGCGTTGCAGTGGTGCGATATGCTCTTGAACGGTATATAAAAGCATTCGTCTGGCGTATATCTGAAAGTGACTCTTATTCGTGAATTTATCAAAGAATAGAATGGTAAATTCTACAAAGCAGGTTCTAAAGCGCATTCAAGTATTCTGTTCCACTCTGTAGAAAATTTGGATTACCTAATAGGAGAAAAAGACTTCTAAGTGAGACAGACGTTATACAACTCGTCTCCTCCTCAGCTTGAGAGATAAGCATTTTTTTCTTTTCCCCTTGTATATTACTATGCTAAGTTCTAGTGGAACTTTCCCATCAAGCTGACCGTGTTTCATCAAGCACAAGTTCTTACATAAATATTATTGGCAAGTTTCTTCTCGTTTATCCAGCATTCTGTATTTAGTGATTTTTGTCTAATTAGTAACACGTGTACTATGCTCTACAATAGGCTATGAAATTTGCATTCCTTGTGTACTACTGGTTTGAAACTTCTGCTTTTCAGACTGCATTTCTGTAGGCCAGATGCTTTCTCTTTTTTCACCAAATGCTAGCTCCCACCTTCCATGGGACCCATATCTCGAGACTCTACAAAGTCATGCCAGCCCACTAAAGTATAAATTTAGTTACCCTAGAAAAATACTAGCATAGGCATTACTTTAGTATCCAAGTCTCAGTCTGAAATCGTCAGTTTTTGCGTAGATTTCGATTGATAAGATTTGCTACACAAATAGTAAAACTAAGGAAAAGACAACACGATGAAACATACTACATATAACATAGAAGCTGTGATTCGCTGTATATTCATATTTCATATCCTGTACATCTTCCAAATTCCTAGAACTCTTGATGTAAAAATAGTTCTTCAGTTCATAATTCCAATATATTCTTTATTTTATTAACTACCATCATAAATTCTTTATTTTGTTCATAGTTCTCTGCAAGTAGTTCTTCACAGTATCAAATAGCTATCTAGAAATAGCAATCGATTTCAAAACAGTCAATAGGGGAAGACAAAAGAATTGAATCGAATGCCCTCCGAATGTCGAAAGGCAACACGGCTTCAATCAGGGCAATCGGCTTGTTTGCTTTATATTTCTAATATATTATATCATAGTATAAAGTGCCAAATCTGCTGATCTTCCTTGTCTAAAACCAAACTGATTTTCACTAATGAAATGCATTTCATTCAGCCTATAGAGAACTCTATTAGTAATTAATTTGTCCAACACTTTTCCATGCGTTTTCAATAAGCAGATCGGTCGGGTACCTCCCTTAGATTTTTGTAACAAAATAAGTCTTCCAATTTTCCAAGAATCTGGGAAATACGCATAGTGATAGGTATTTATTATACAGGATAACATAAAAGTAAATAAATTCTCCAAATAATTCCTTCAACAGCCAAGCCCGATGCCATCTAGTCCGGGAGTAGAATTCGATCTCAAAATGCTTACGACATTCAAAATCTCTTCACATGTGAACAGTTCTTCTCTATCATTATTCTTGTCCATCACAATTTCTTCAATATCATCAAACATCATCATCATTTAAACCAAGTGTCTGTTTAATAATTCTGTCATATAGATCTTCCGTCGAGACGGCCCCCTCATACATATTTTGTTTGAGAAAGATGTCATTTTTCAATCTATTCCTAGGGATTATATAAAACCGATCATATCATTCTTTATTCTAACAAACAAATTATTCTTAAAATCTCTCTTTGTTCTCCTAATACATTTTTTACATAAAGCAAGATTCTTCTTATATATAATTTTTCTTTGCTTTCTAGTCTCATCATCAATTCCAACCACCTGAGAACTCTTTCTAGAAGCGCGCACTTTTCTTCTCATTTTATCTAAATCATTAGTCCACTATTCATTTTTATCCTTGTTTTTAACCAAAATCTTAACTTTTAGGTATTCATTCATCTTTCCCATAATTATTTCTTCTAATTCAACAATCAATCCATGAAAATCCCCGGCAGAATGACATTCCACAATACGATCTTCAAATAACTGAAAGTAATTCCGCATTTTATTAATAAATTTCTTTACTGTCTACTTCCCGATGCTAAAACTATAACTAGTTTTATTATCACAAACAAAATCTTTAAGATCAATTAAAATGTACTTATGGTCGCTTAGGCTCTCAATATCAAGGATCTTCATATCCAAATCTCTTGCTCCTAGTTCCGATGAGACTATAACTAAGTCCGTTCAACCCACTCCGACAGAGAAACTAAAAGTTGGTTCAGAATTATTTTTATTTAGAAGTTTCAAATCATGTTGCAGTATAAAATCACTAGTTAAAATTCCCCGTTGATCCAACATTCTCGCTCCCCATATAAAATTTTTAGAGCTAAAATCACCAACAATGATAAAATTATTGTTATAGAAATCTAAGATCACTTCTAAATTAATTAAATGTTCATTCAAATCCTCTGCGGGAGAAAAGTAAACACTAATAATACCTAACAGTTCGCTTTTTTTCAACACCAACAGATACAATGCAATCGAAGACCGCCCCAACAGAATAACCCAATGCTTCACCAACTACAATCAAAGCAGATCGTCCCTGTTTTTTATGTATCACTCTCCATGAACTTTTACAATACGCAGTCTCATCATTTATATAATATGGCTTTTGCAGCAGGCTGAAAGGAGGTAACTGAAATTCGCTTCTTCCTCTCAAAATATCTTTTGAGTAACTGCTCCGTTTAAGCCGCAGTCCTGTATATAAAATGCATATCGGCGAGCTTTACTTAATATTTATTGTAGCGAAGCATTCCGCTCGAAATTCGCCCGGGAAAATTCGCCCGATTTACGACAGTAGAACACTTTTACATACTGCTCAATAGCTCCTTGTACCACCTCAAAGCACAGGTGCCACAAATACATTTCATTAAAAAATCTGTTTATTTTGGTCCCCTTTGCTTGCGATTACAGCCAAAAATTTTTTAATCACATCGTATTTACTAAATATTGCCCTGTTGTTTCTTTACTTTACTGAACTATTGTTAAGAAAATGAGACACATGACATGCATAAATTTCTTTCATTTCGTGCAAGCAACGTTGAAGTTTTCTGAATGATTTTTTTTTTTTTTTTTAAATATTTTAGCTATTCTTGCCCTTTTTGCATAAAGACGTTTCAAGTGAAACTTGCACATTAATTTCTTCTTCTATTAATCATTTACTTGTATGCTTCTGTGTGGCAACATTTCTCATGCAAGTAATTTCTCGTTATTATCAAATATAATTTTAACGAGCTTCATAATCAACTTATACACTTCTTATAGTGTTTAGTGCTTCATGCGTGCTAATTGAAAAATAATCCCTTTTCCACGCTTATAGGAGAATTTTTACTATATATTATATATTCTTTCGGTCGATTACCGCAGATGCTTTGGTTGCATATTCTGGTTTACAGTGGGAATTAATTCCGCTCTTACCAGAGCTTATCACGGAATCCCGCGAGGGGCCTCACACATAAGGGCTCATCAAATTGATGCACCATAAAGATGTATATCTTAAGATAAAATACAATAAAAGTAAGAAAACATTGAGAAGCATTGTCTCTGAAATCTCACTGGTGGGTGACGATGCGATAACAAAAGACTAGCATTGTCCTATCAGGGGTGTGGCGGCAGTCCTGTGACTCCTGCTGAGCAACTGAAAGTTTTGAAGTCCAATTTGCAATACAATTAATACGA